GTGGAGAGACAATTTTGTACAAGATTTTGTATCAATTTAATCTGCTACGTGAGAAGAGAATAAGGTGATAACCTATTGAAACAGTTGATATATAATAAAAAAAACTCATTTAAGGAAAAGTAATGGATAAATCAAGTTGATTATGATAGAAATTAAGTCAATAAATCCAATCACTAAAATTTAAAAGAGCTCGAATCTCACTTGTCTGATACTGATACCATATACTGATTAATTTTGAAGTGGTCTTTGTTTTCTTTCGTCTGAGAGTTTGAATTTGTATACATATCATCAGTCTGAAAGTCTCAACTGCTCCCAGCTCACATGCGTTGACGTTTAGCTGTTTAGGAAGCAGTACTAATTACTTCATTCATTACACTTTTAATACGATAAACCCCCCCAAAACACAACCGAATCTGCACAGATGGAACAAGAGGGAGAGAGAGATTGGAATTTCGGGTAGCGCTCTTGTACGTACTAAACCCCATTGTGGAGGAGGAGAAGTTTAAGTAGAACGACGAAGAAGATTTGAAATTAACACTGGTCTCATCGGCAATCCTCCTCTTAGTTGTTCCATTCAAACACAGAAAGGTTTCTCTCTCTCCCTCTCTCTCTCTCATGATCTCAGTAGAAAGTTACTGGTAGGATGAAATGTGGTTCATTTTATTACCGTCGGCCATTAGAAAGTAACTGGTAGAATGAAATGCGGTTCATTTTATTACCGCCTGCAATTTGTATTACCTTTGAATATCCCTAATTTCTACAGCCTTGTCGTCATTATCAAAACCTGAAAGGCAGGCGGTTCCGTCCATTTACTTTCTTGTTTTTCCCCATTTCACTCCATTTTCTACGTTTTCTTCAGTCATTTGTCACCGCCGTTAATGTCAATGTGCCCCATACCTTTGTTTGTTGGTATCAATTTATTGCTGCTACCTTTTATATTGCCTTTGTTTTAGGGGGTTTCCTTTTCCTTTTTCTGTTGTTAGTCATTTACTTTCCTTTTCACGAATCTACACTCACTATTTCTCTCGTGATACTTCTTTTTGAGGGGTTTGTCTATGGAAAATGAGCCTTCTATGAACTCGCTTTTGACAATTTTCTTTTGGTTTGAGGTGTATTGCAATATCAAAAGGTTGTGAATTCTATTACTTCTGTCTTTCTCTTTTTCCTCTCTTTTTTTTTTTTTTTTATAGATGATTGCTTTTTTCCTTTTACTTTCTAGATTATAACAAAAAGAAAACAAAAGAATGGGGGGAAGTGGGGTTGGTGGTTATTAATTTTTGACATCTTTTTTTAAGGCAATCATTTGCTCAGAAGCTTCAGTGTTTTTTGTTGTTACCCAACACTGAATTTAATGAGAAAGTGTACAAACTTACCCTGAAATTAGCATTTCATGATGAAAATGACTGGTAGCTGTGCATTCATGAGTTTCTTTGTCCTTAGTTGTTCACGGTCGTAACAGTTTATCTACTCTAAGTATACATCTCACTAGTAATTAATGTTTGCCCTTTCAACTTTTGTCTTAGAGTTTGGATTTGTTGGGCATTGAGATTGGGTTCATGATTCTTGCTTGTACTTTGAGTATCTAGGGGACTTCGATTTTCATGGTTATAATTTCTGGATATGGAAATCAAGGTGCCTGTTGACTTTCTGGATGCGATTTTGAAAACCCCCATGACTTTACACCATGTGTGACTCAGCAGTGCTGCATTCTGCCTTGAGCTGGTGAGTAGATTCCATTATGTGGTCATGATACCTGTTGAATTGCAATTCTTCAACTGAGATTCAGAGAAGTTTCCTTTTTAATCTTTTACTTCTGCTTTTTTGTATTTTTGTGCAGGAGTGATTCTCTTTCCCAATGCACACATCTGGGGTGAGCTATTGTGATTCGGAAATCCAATTAGATGAAATTCAAGATAATAAGTCCTCCTTGGTGGTCAGTACCAGTGAACATGTGGTTTTTGTCCTTCGTGCACACACACATATTGTTCTGATTCTGGAAGTCTTCTTACATAGACAAAGGCTTGAGCTTGTTCTAGAGAGTA